TCGAAATCCAACAATGGAAAGCAGAAGCAGGAATCTGTTTTTTAGGAACAAACGCACAAACCACACTAAGGAAGCTCACAAGCTTGTGAACGTTTCCCTCTGAAGCTGTTTGTGAAGCTCCTGTTAAACGAGCAGATTTGTGCAACGCCTCCTCTGCAGCGTGTGCAGCCGTGAGTGAAACTGTGCAGACGTTTGAACGTGTCGTCAGGGTTTTGTTCTGTTTGTCCTCTTTATTTATTTCTTATAAAGGAACAGCAGGAACAAGGATGGGCTCGTACATGTTATCATCAGGATGAAAGTCTTGATATTTTGGTTTCCACGTCAACTGGAGATAAAACACATCCTAAAAGTATCAAATAAGTTCAAGGTCAGAGGTCACATTTTCTGAAAATCTTGTAAATGCAATAACTCAAGAAGTCACCTGAGCTTTTCAAATTGATGCCGCAGGTGCGTTTAGTGGGAGACTGAGGGCTTTAAAAACGTTGGGGGTCATGCATCTGTTAAAAGCGCTGTGACTCATCTAAAGCCACAAACACTTGGACCCGAGGCTGAGCATCATCACTTAATGAGCTGATACAAAACACCAGGAGACAGATGCTGCTGTGAAGTGGCCCCTGAAACATGGAAGTGTTAAGACAACAGTGTAAACCACACACACACACACACACACACACACACACACACACACACACACACAAACACAAACACACACAAACACACACACACACACGTTAGTAATTGATATGTTGTGGGGACATCTAATCGACATAATGCTTTTAACTACAGCTGGGTACCATCACTGATTTCTAGAATCGATTCAATTCCGATTCACAAGGTCCCGAATCGATTCGATTTAATTCGATTCGATTTGAATCTGGGAAATTTTGACAGTCAGAAATATTATAATTCAGATCAGTACATTTACATATTTTTGTATCTATGAAAAGGAAGCTGACACATGCAAGACTTTATCAAAGGTGTGAGCGTCACAGCAGATCCCTTAGTGTCAAAGCAGCTGAGGATAAAACACAGAAAAACATGAAGGTGGTTTTCCTGTTCTGGGATTTTATAAAAATATTCTGCAGTAGATCAAAAACGAAAGAAAACCATTAATCAACATATAAACTTTACCTCTGAAGTTACAGCGGTTTTATTAGAGACACGGCTGAGCATTTTGCATTTTGCATAATTTAAAAAAGTTTAAATTTGTTCAGTATTGAACGGCAGAAATTAGGTTTTCTTTTCAGATGTAAAACAAACAAAAACAGCGGCTGACAGCCTGTAAACAACGGTAGACTTGTGCGTAACAAGCAAGCGAATAATGCAGAAAACAGACAGACAGAGAGAGAGAGCTGTGCATCGTGGTGGAAGCAAAACAGGAAAAGTCAGAGTGAGTTCATGACGATGTTTATGTGAAGCGTAGTTTGGATCTTCTTTTGCTGCTGGTTCGGTCAATATTGTTTGGAGAGACATCAAACTAAGAGCTTTAGAATCAGCGCGTGAACACAAAGTGCGGAGCCGCCGACAGATCAGAATCAGCCAGCTGTCAGCTTTCAGCTGTGACATGTGAGAAAGTCACATCTCACTGATTCTGATCCGCGGTCAAAGCTTTGTGTTTACGTCTTTGTGCAGAAGCCGTGTTCCTGCTCTCATTCACTGGTTGTTGAAGTTTTGAGGTTTCACCTGAGATTCTGGCATTTCGGGCAAAATAAATTTATATAAAAAAATCGATTCAGGATTTTAATGAATCGATTTCACGTTATCCAAGCCAGAACCGATTTTAATCGACGAATCGATTATAAAAACCCAGCCCTACTAAAAGCACATTTTGAGTCTGAAGAATGTCTTCAAACTTGTAGGGACCTGGACTTTGGTCCCTACAAAGACATGCAACAACAATTTTCCTTGTTTTTCTCTAAACCTCGGAGCAGCTCTGGCAGTAAACCTTCACTGCTCTACATTCACCTGCTGGGCCACCGAGGTTAAGTGCCTTGCTCAGGAGTCATTAATATGAGTCGAGGTCTGTATGGGACTTTGAGCAGGCGGACATTAGTCCGGGTGTCAGCTTCTGCCAGCGTTGGCTCAGTGTCAGCGTGACGTGAAATAAATCAGGGAAGACTTCTTTATCTCAGCTCTGGTCTCTCCTTCCACATCTTCTGAAAAGTCTTTAACCTCGTCCGGGAAGCTAATCAGCAGAGCTGTGAGTGATTTAGAACAGGCTCGTTCCACTCTGCCGTCTGGCAGGCGGTGATAGCACCCGGGAGAGCTGTTACAGCTGCTGGCGTGGAACCGACCATGTCCAACGGCGCCGCTGAAGACTCCTCTGCTGCTGCTGCTGCCTCCACGTCAGAAAAATGTGCACGTGATGGAGAGACGACAAACCGACAGCAGCAGGATGAAAGGCAGCGTGCCAAATAGGTCCACCTTGGTGGAGCGCCAGCGGAGGCCAAAATGAAGCCGTGGGCCAATATGTGCAGTGTAAATATTAATCCAGTCAGCGAGGAGGGTTTAATGACTCGTGTTTGGGCCCGTTTATACAACCAGCTCAGGTTTCGCTCACGTGGTGACACAGAGGTGATGAAATGTGTGAGCGGGGCTGGAACCTTGCTACACAACGCCATTAAGAGGAAGTATCAGTCAGATGTTGTTTAGATGCTTTAAAGATGGACACAAAAATCTGTCATTCAGTTTGGAGTGACCGCACAGCTCCGATCAGGAGGAAAGTCGGTCATCAGAACAACAGGACGGATCTGGTTCAAAATGTCACATCTGCTGTTTGCTACACTGACATTCAAGCCTAACATCAGACGCCACATCATCATCATCATCACGTGTGCAGAGGACAGGGACTCGTGATGCTGGCTCACGTCTCCTGAGAGAACGTGTGGTTTCTGCTGCGCACACTTCAGGAAGCATTCAGATCCTTTCTGAAATACTGACGCCACACCGTAAAAACAAAACCCACGACGGGTAAAAGAAAACGCAGCTGCAAAACTGAAAGCGCTGAACACAGTCAGACAACCTCGTGCTGATGTTTACCTTTGTTAACTGAAACAGGGAAGCCTGGATCTCCTGAGTCACAGGAAACAATCAAAACCCTTCTCTTTTCAGCTGCTTCCTTTAGGGGTCGCCACAGCAGATGCTCTGCCTCCACCTCACCCCGTCCTTTACATCCACCTCTGTCACACCAGCACCAATCCATGAATCTCCTCTGTGAGCTTCCTCCCGCCTGGCAGCTCCATTTTCAACATCCGTCATCCAGTATATCCACGATCCCTCCTCTGCCCAAACCATGTCACCTGCCTCTCTAACTCTGTCTCCAAACAGCTCCACCTGAGCTCCACCTCTGATGTTTCATTTATTCTGATCGCTCCAAATGAATCTCTCAACATGTTCCACTCTGTCACCTCCAATTTGTCGTTTCCAAACAATAAAAGCGCACATACAGTATAAAATAAAACAATAAAACCATGAAGACAGATGTGAAGATGGACAGATGTCGCCTCCATCGCTCACTGCTTTGTTTTTAAGCTCAGCGTTAATGTTTTTGCTGCGTTGGTGTTTAGAGGCTGCAGTGAGACGAGAGGTGGACGGCTAAGTTAATGACCGCTGTCCTGGTTAGCATAAACAGACTTCCTGTTAATTAGAACTGAGTGACTGATAAAATATTTGAATTTCAGCTAAAGTTGTTGAGGCTTCTAAAAGCATGAAACGAAGGCAGAGATACAGACTCACTGGAGGATGCCTGGTTTAACCTGATGATGCATGTTTTTATTTTCTAATCTGCTGCTGAGTCTGTTTCACTCCACTGGAAACTAGAACACAGATCACTGCACTTTGACCTGCAGACAAACTGAAGTGATCTCCGTCTGCTTCGTCAGACTGTGGGACAGAAACCTTACAGGTGTAAAGTTTCAGAGCTCTAATGTGAAACCTGCTCAGTGTTAAACAGTTAACTCTAATGAATCATCATCATCTGATAACATTTCTGATTGGAGTCATATGAGGCATGAAACGCCCCTTTTTAATGAGCGTGCTCAGAGTCTAAAGCGGTGAGTGCTGATAACCACGGTGGTGATTCCCGACTGGGGTTTAGGCTTTGGTGACTCAGTTCAGGTGAAGGAAACCAGGCAGTGCTGTGTTCAAGTCACAGCGAAGATAGTGACCCAGTCACTGTGGGGACCGACTGGTTTTCAGAACCAGCCTGTCTGTGGAACTAAACTGTTTTCCAGCTTCAGCACCAACGTGATGATTTTTGAGTAAAACAGTCTTTGGACTTTGTGCAGCGTGAAACCGACCCTTAGTTTGAAAGCACTTTAAAAGATGTCTTGATGCTCAATCATGCAGGGAAGGAAAGCCTAAAAAGCCCAAAGTCATTTGAAGTCACTTTGATGAGTGAGGGAACCTCCAGATGAACAGAATCAACGTTTGAGGAGCGTTTAAAACAAATACTTTTCAAAAATACATCATCCTGTATGAAATGATTTCTTATTGATCAGTGGGCCGGCCAGATTTGAACCTTGCCCATATTTAAACCGTTGTAAATGACTTGTTGGCCTATAATCTGTGAAACAGGTGTCAAACATTTCTCCCATCAATGACATGAAGTCATGTCGAGCCACAGAGAACGTTTTTGTCACGAGGTAGAAGCTGTGATCAGTTTCCGGCAAAGTGACCATCCTTTATTTATCCAGCTAGAAAGTCTCAGTGACATTAAAGTGACGTTTTTAAGAGATCAGAGGGAAACAGAAAGTTCAACAGTAACTCTAAAACAGTTTCAAGTGTCCACAAAGGACTGATGATCACGCAGGTGCAATAACAGAGTCACAGAGTCTTCGTTTAATGAACTCTTCATCAATCGATCTAATCTGATAATCAATTCATCGTGACTCGTGCTGATTATTAATCACGTGACTTTTTATTTTCAGGAGAGTTCAGCAGCGTGTTCCCGTGAGATTGTTCCCGTGAGATCGTTCCCACCTCTCTCCCGGGACTTCTTAATAGAAAAATGTGAAAACTGTCTGAAGCGGATTCCGAGCAGCTGCTGGTGGAACAGCAGCCTCCACCGGAACGATTTCACGTCCTGAGTGGACACGCTTCCTTCTAAAGTGTCACGTGCTCCTTCTTGCATCGTTAACGATACTGAACAAAACCGTCACGTTCGGTGTCGCACGTGCTGCCGGCCGTGGATGTGGGCTGACGCGTTCAGGTCCGCGACCTGCCGGAGCTTCTTTCACTGCAGCCTTCTGCAGCTCAAGGTGTGCGTGCGCGCGCGCGTGCGTCAGGGGCGTGGAGGTGGAGGGGAGCGTTGCGTCCTCTCACGTGACCAGCCCGCCCGTCCTCCCTGCTCTCGGTCCGGATCTCTTTGTTGTGGTTGCAGCGCGTCTGTGAGCCGGAGCGCCCCGCTGAGCTCCGTGACGGATCCACGACGCGCGGGATCGTTTCGTGTGCGGCGCGAGACAGACAGCCGGATCCAGCCGGTGCAGCTCGGTCTGCCTGAAGATAGAGGCGCGGACGCAGGGGGAGGATGCTCCCTGCCCGGACGAACTGGACCGCCTCCCAGACTTCCTGAACGCGGATCCGGCGAGCGTTACCCACACATTCCTCCACCTTCCTCCCTCTGCGCTCTCCGTCAGTGGGGCACAGTGTGAGCCAGCCTCCGCCTGCTGCACCCGGGATTAAGCTGTGCTTTCCACCTGAACCGACATCCGAGCGCTGCGTCCCGCTGGCGTCTGCAGGTCGGATCGGCTTCTTCGCGATGCTGTCAGGCCCTGCGAGGCATCGCGGGCGTCCCGGCGGGGTCGTCCGGTGCCTGGTGTCCGCCTGCCTGCTGTCTCTGCTGCTGGAGGCTCGGGGGTCTTATCCTCAGAGCGGCGAGTGCAAAGGCAAAGGAAAGGACTGCACAGGTAAGACCTCCACCTCCTCCACCCCTCCTGCTGTAAATCAGCCTCTGTGCTTTGAATAATCCTAATCTGATGCCGAGATGTGCGCGCGGGTCTGTATGTGTGATATTCCCGTGGGCACGTCTTCTGTGATTCGGGGACTTGTTGGAGCCGCTGCTGCTGTGGTGACCTTTGAATCTCACTGGATCCTCATTGTCCTGCATGTCCGTGTCTGTTGGCCTGTTTGAGCTTCGAGCTGAAATATGAAGCGTCGGGTTAATGTTCCTGCTGCTGCGAGTCAGTTTAGTCTGTGAGGCGTGAATTTAATCTGCTGGAGTATCCACGCATTTATTCCTAAAGAGCTGTTTACGATCTCACAGCTGATCCGAGTTGTATATCTGGTCCATGTTGTCATGATTGGATCCATGTGGAGGCTTCTGATGATCCGCTGCAGTCACTTTGTGGGTTGTTGTTGTTGTTTTGTACTTATAATTTTATTTTTCATTTAATTTAACTCAGAGTTTAGATTGAACCTTTTTATTTTAAGGCGTCTGTGTCTCAATAAACTTTCCTGCTGTTCTTTTGATAAATTTGGCCAAACTGTTGGCTGAAGCTCTTTCCTCCTGTTTCACAGTCCGTCTGCTTTCTGAAGCAGGAATGTTGAGTCGCTTTTATTTGCACATGTAAAGTTTCAGAGGGCTTCACAGACACGAAAACATTAAAAATGGGAAAAAAACAAAATATTCAAACATGGAAAAACTAACATACACAAACCTGTAAAACAAAGAGAAAGAAATTCTGAAAGAAACCAGACTAAAGACCGACGTTAATGAAGAAACCGAGCAGGTTCAGTTATTGACATAAAAACAAGAATCAAATGCAAAATAAAATGCTTTAAGAGCACCTTGAAATTTTTGGTACAGTTTGCTTCTCTAATGTCTTGAAAACAGCAAAAGCTGCATTTCTAATTTTTCTCAGGGAGAAAAGCAGTAAATTGTTTGACTTTAATGAACTTCTCCAGTTTTGGATTCATGATTTTAAAGTTGCTTATTAGGTGAAAATGCAGCTTTAAAACTGCATTTACAGGAACATCAGCAGAGGCGTGCAGGTTTCAGGGGAGCAGTTGGGTGGAGGGACACTCTGAGTGGAACCCCCCACGGTGTCACACACTTCATTTCTTATATTCAGTCTTTATGTATGGGAGGAAAACACAGCGAGGCTCTCAGACGGCCTGTGTCACATTCAAATAATTAATCTCTGCTTTTCTCATTTAATACAATCCCTGCTGACTCACACATACACATGATTTACTCTTCTGTCCTCTTCTGTTTGCCTGGGACGGCAGTCGGGTACCAGCTCTGACTGATGTGAGCCCACTCGGTTCAGTTTCAATGCATCGGACACATTTAATATACAGCTTCATATTGCAAGATAAATATCAGAGATGGCTCCAAATATCTGAGTCCCTCTGCAGTGGGAAGGAAGAAACCTCCATCAGATTCAGGCCAGGGAGAAGCAGCTGAGAGGAAGGAGAAGCACGAAGAAATCACGAAACACTAACAAGATGAAACTAAACTCCTCCAAAGTGATCGAAGCTCTGAGGAAGACTTCTGCTCATCTTCCAAACGTTCTGCAAATTTCAAACACGTCACACATGCATCTGTTTCATAAGTCTCGACAGTATATCTCAAAAAAGTGAATTAGGTTGTCTGAAAGCAAGAAGGACATGCAGACTTGTTTTCATCTCTAAAGCAAATTACTGAAAGCTGACATGAACATCAGTTTGCAACAACATCTATAAACTGGAAGAACAGCATCTCACACTCATGTATCCGACTCTTCCTCCTCCTCTCCTCTTTCATCATGGCTTCTTCATTCTTGCCGAGTTGCCAGCAGGAGCACAGGGCATGTTAGCAAACGTACCTCAGCATCACACTAAACTACTAAGATGTAGAGAATCCACGCCGGTCCCTCAGACGCTGCACAGCTTACATGACTGACAGTAAACGATTAGCAGCGTTCCTGCAGGTCCTTAAAGAGTCTTGAAATGTATTAAATTAATTCATCTGAAAATATGGAAATAGTTGGTATTTAAAAGTCTTCGGTCAGTGTTTCAGGCGTCAAGAGAGTCGATTTTATTCATCGTTTTTTCTGAAAACAAGCACTTACAGATTTTTTTCAATAATTTACTGATGGGCATGAATATCACACGAGCTAACAGAGGAAACAACATGCATAATTTTTAAAGCCAAGTTGTCTGACTGTCAAAGACAAGCGGACATGTGAATTCTGTGAAATTACTTTGTGCAGGAAGTGTTTGAGATGGTACTATGAGGCAGCTCCCACACGTTTCCCTTTGTGGATGCAGATGAGGAAACGTTTGTTTTAATACACTCGGCACAGAGCACTAGAACCAGGAGGCTGATGTCTCCTGGTTTGTTGGACTTAAAGTTCATGCAGATCTTTTGAGAAACACCATAAAAACTCTGAACTCTCTGGTGCCTGTAGGAACCCTGGACAGTCTCATTTATGTATCGCTGTTTTGGCCGGTGGGTGTTTGCACATGGAGTGTGAGAACAAGCTGTGCAAACCAGCTAACAGCAGACTAGCAGCAGAATACTGACTCGTGTCTGTGTTACTGTTGGGATCGTTTTTATCCAGGTTCAAACTGTGAGGATCGGCTTTCTGGGGTCTTCTGTTGGTGTGCGGAGTATCCGTGGATGTTTTTCAAGTAAAAAGAGTCATTTATGAAAACAATACTATTGAGAACAAGTTGACTGGAAGCTTCTGTTTTTACAAGGAGCCTGAACCAGGCGTGAAATGCTTTATAGTCGAGAAAATTTAAATATTAAAGCTTTAAATGTGCTGCTAATGACTGAGCCTCCGCCTCCAGATTGTTTTCATCATGGAAATGAATTAGCTGTTATACAACTAATTAACTGTTGATTATATATAGACTAAAACTGTTTATGTAAATCTAGTTTGAATGCACTATTGGATACTATCACATTTATGAGGAAAGTGGAAAATATTGGTATTTTCCCTTTAGAAGCACCACAGCTCTTTCATATAATAAAACAATGAGCTGCCGCTCACGTCAAGCATCCCTGAAACACCCTCATCGTGACCTCTGCGGTGAGCAAGCACCGAGCTTCTATAAGCCTATCACTTACTCTTAGCGTAATGCACTCTGACAGGGATTTTAGTCGATGCTATTTGCGATCGTGTTTGCATCCTGCTGCATCAATATCTAATATTCATGCATTCATTGCACCGTTACTCTGTTCTTCTTCTTTTATGAAATATTTAAAGGAAAGGAGCAGCAGCCATGTAAATGAGTGTTAGCTGTCACTCTGGAATAACCCGCCTCGCTCATGTTTTATTAATGAACCTCTGAATTGTTTCTGCTTGGGCCACTCGCGGTGTTTGCATTAAGAAATGGAGCGTTTTCCTCGCAGACGAGCGCCGCGATCCTCATCAGAACATAATGCCACGTTCTGCAGAGGCAAATGAAAATGTTCCGAGTCACTAAACAAACCAAATACCTTGATTTTTAGCACGGAAAGCCTAATTCACACAGTCAGCGCTCCATGCATAACAATAAGCGCGTGGCACAGGACTGAGTCTTGATACCAGATAATAATTGACTGCGCTTCTTTCAGAACTGGTGTTCGTCTGAAAAACAGAATAAACGACGAGCTTCTGCCGTCTCGAGAGAGACGGAACAAAATGGGTTTTGGCACTTTGTTGGAAGCAGCGTGCCGCAGGGTTTGAAGGGAAAATGCAGCCCTGGAGAAACATCGAGCATTCATAGCGAACCAATATTCTCTGGTACTGAAGTGTAAAATATAAGATGTGGAAAAGCATTTGTGGCACCAGCCATCTGCTGCTGAGGGGCAACGTGAAGCTTGGAGTTTGGTTTCCATTTGCTGCCGTCGTTTCCAGTTACTTTAAGTTGGAGCAAATTTGGGCAAAGAACGTGGACGGGATGGATGCGTGAGCTGTTTACCGGGCAGCTCTTCAGCCTGTGGCTCGTATGAAGTGTATCAGGACCTGTATCACACATCCATGTGTTTCCTGTCTGTGAGCTGAATTGGACTGCACTTGTGGCGCGCCAACGAAGACACACTCAGGTGTTCTTCTGTTAATTAATATCATTAACAACTTGTGACATCAGAAATTCATCTTCTGTGGATGAACTCTGTCTGGCTTCTGGTGACGGTCGTCCTCATTCAGCTCGGTGACCTCGGTGTAGAAGCAAACAAGCAGCTCTCCACCAGCTCCGGGTGGATGTCCAGAGCTGGAGGAGGACTTCTGTTTGTAGTCCAAGATGGCAGTTAGAGCAGGACAAGACGGCACAACCGCAACCCAACAAGCCCTCAGAGGAACACGACAAGGACCTGTTTACATCGACTGAACTATCAAAATAAAAGCAAGGACGCTGTCCACTAGTAAAAGGATCGCAACTTTTACTCAGAAGGGGGAAAAACAAACCCCAAAATCAACGATGGCGGCTATCAACATGCAAGGGCGGCTATCAACATGCAAGGGCGGCTATCAACATGCAAGGGCGGGCCATCAACATGCAAGGGCGGCTGTCAACATGCAAGGGCGGGCCATCAACATGCAAGGGCGGGCCATCAACATGCAAGGGCGGCTATCAACATGCAAGGGCGGGCCACCCAAGTCTCTTCAGGAAACTTTTTCTTGTGCAATAAAAGCACAACGATGCAGCGCAGTCCTGAAACTCGACGTTGCACAGCTCGAGTCAGAACGACGGTCGAGTTCAGACACATTATATTCTCATTAGGACCGAGAATATAATAAGATCCCAGCGGCCTCGGGGTTTGCATTAAAATAGAGCATAAATTAGTAAAATTATAAAAAAGAACAAAAGCTTAAACCGATCAGCAAAAGTTTGTAACTTGATACAGTTTATTTTCAGTTTACTGCTAATGTTCACTAATTAATGGAGGTTAAGTCGTTCGTGTATGTAAAGAAGGTTATTGGGGATTCAGTGCTTC